CATTGCATGCATGATCATTTTCAAACGCGGACCGTGGACATGGTACATTCCCAGATGTGATAATTACTTTTAATTTTTCACAAGTATATTAGATGTGGATTACATAAAACTAAATATAAGATAAGTTTAATATAAAGATAGAGAGCGCTGGTCTGAAAAAGTTACATCATTCGATTTTACATCTCTGGTAGCATATGAAAGATACGTCAGCAGATTCGTAATTAAGTAATTTAAAGGTGATGATTTAATAAAACTAAATATTATCACTACTAAAAGTAGTAAAATATAAATACGATAAGTAGCACAAAACCAATGTAGGTCAAATCATGAATGAAAACGAAACAAAAAATAAATAAAACTTTAATCATTTTAAGTAGCCTAGGATGAATGATAATGTGACATTAAGGCATGCATTATCCGCCTTTAAATCCCACTACAGGAGCTGATGAGACCTAGATAAGGTCAGAACTACAGTAAATCCTAGGTGAGAAAAGACTGGATGGAGTTAAATGAAATGATGAAGCCTATTCATTGCATTGTGTTAAAATTCATATGACAACCCATAAATCATCACAAATGACTTATAGAGACTTTAATTATCATTAAACAAATATTTATAGCCTCTTATACAAAGCTCAATTGGGTCATACTCACCTGAGTTGGCATCTCCACTATCTTGTGTTCCATCATCAGCAATGGTCTGCCGCCTCATCTGGTGATCCTGATCCCTGCTCAAGCCACTCACATTGTTTGAGGCTGAACTGAGTCCGATAGGTTTACTCAAAGAAGCTATTGATGGGGGTGGCCCAGAAGCCGGGCCAATAACAATTGGTCCGAGGCTACTAGATCCGCTTGTATAGACCCCTCCCATATTCGCTCCGACGCCAATCGGAGCAGCGATAGCGACCGGAAAGAGCCCATTAGCTGAAGCAGAAGAAAAGAGCTGCTGCTGCTGAATATGAAATTGAAATTGCATCTGTTGATGCACCTGATGAATACGCATTATCTCGGCTTCCAAAAGGCGAGCGTAGGTCCGGTAGCGAACAATCTGTCCTGAAAAGAAGAAGGTGAATGGGTTTATGAGAACAGGGAAGGAAGAAGCAAGTGACTAAGAGATTAAAAATCATATTAATAAAGCATACTAGAGATTTTGTACCGTAGATATAAAGCCCAAGGTTTGGTCGAAGTCTCCTTGAGCTGCATACTATTGGTTTGACCCAGTTTACCTGTTCGGAGCGGAATAGAGACGTTGCTGGACATACGAAGTCCTGTATCCTGTATCCTAGTATTCAGTATACTTTTCAGCATCATGAATAGACACAGGACTAGGTATACTCTATAAAGTTTCCCTGGTGCTCCGACCAAGTTGCAAAAATGAGGTCAAACCAATATTAGAGAGGTTAGACTGGATAGTATTATTGCACATTATGGGTTATATTATGTAATACCAAGTATATCAATTTTCAATTAATCCTGAATCTGAATAATATAATATAATATCGGAATATTTAAATATCAAATACAAGACGTAAAATTGTATGGGCTTAAGGTCCTCATGAAAGGGTTGAGCATAGAGATATATAAAA